GTTAGCCTCCTAAGTGCATGTTTACAACAATTACATGACTGTATATTTTCTACATGTTAAATGGATTGAAAACTCAGGGTAATACCATAAACTATTAATAGTGTTCAAGATGTATACTCATTGTTGTTGCTGATTTTTAGTTGCCCTTTTTTCAATAAAATTGCATTATTGGCCTATGAAGATGCTTCTTTATTGAAACATTATTACTGTACCTTCAAAAATGTAGCAAGCAGCAGGGGTGAACTTTGAAAAACTGTTAGGCTGAACAGTTTTCAAAAACCTTAATTTCCGTCTGTTTCAGTCTTCCTCAGTTTTGCCCATCCATGGCATTTGTTGTTTCTGCTATGTTATTTTAACCTTCCTTTAGAGTTTTATTTAATTTTTTTTTTGTTTCTCTTAACTTAATGGGCATTTTGTAATTTCCTAATTTGACTGAATTTCGTGACACAGCTCCTTTAACCAGGCACTTTTTGAATTCAGTTCACTCAAAATTTCTGGACTGAAATGACACCGGTTTGAAACGGAGTCAGATTACTGAATAACTGTTCTAAAATTTGTGTCATTTTAAATTTGAACTCGTTGAAATGTTTCTAGGAACCAGTAACTAACTGCCCGGCATCAGATGAAGGCTTTTAATCGGCCTTTGAATGAGTTTTGTTGTTTTAAATTGCCAAGTAGTAGAATGGGTTGATATTTTTGCTGACCCGGTTTTCAACAATCCAGCTATATATACAGCATGATGAAGATTATGTGGTGCGATTTAAAAAAAAAAAATCCGTCAAGTGCAGTGTCAGAGATTTACAAAATGCTCTAAATTTGGACTCGTTGAAATGTTTGGAGGAACCACTAACTAACTGCCCGGTGTCAGGTAAAGGCTTTTAATCGGCCTTTGAATGAGTTTTGTTGTTTTAAATTGCTAAGTAGTAGAATGAGTTGATTTTTTTGCTAACCCAGTTTTAAAAAATCCAGGTATACATACAGTGAGTAAAATGTAAGTTAGCCTGTGAGATACAAAAGGAAAAATTTTTGTCTTGCTATCCAAAGACAGTCATTGCTAAAGGAGGAATCAGACTACTTTTTTAAGCCTTTTTTCTGCTGCATTCACACTTAAGCTACCAGATGTGTTACAATGAACTAATTCTGGAGCAATGTGATTATTAAAAGAACTTTCAGCTGCATCTAAAATTTGTAGCCTGCACCCCGCTGATTAAACATGATCCTCTCTAAGTACACACTGTCAAGTGTAAACCAAAAAAAGTCACACCATCTCTTACCAGTAACACCCATTTGGGTTTGTACATGTACCTGGCTAAAATGGATTGCTGCTAACAAGAGTAACTTTGTCATTTACTGCACTTTTCCAAGATAACTCAGCTTATCCTCAGGGGAATTTGGTTTGCAACATTTTAGGGGCACTTAATTTCTAATATTCCTTCACCACAACAACGACGACTTACAGTGCACTACTGAATCAGGGCTTGCACTAACAAAATACTTATTTTGCATTACAAATAATCCACAAAATCCTTAGAAGAGAGCTCTGGTAATTTTGAATGAGCTCCTCTGCAGTTTTCACCTTGATGTAAGTTCAGGTGAGCTTAATGGTACTGGTGTTGATGTCTCCACATCAATGCTTTTTTCAAGATGCTTCTGGTGGGTATTGAGGAGGGCTAGCTTGAGGAGGGCTTCTGTACAAGAAGGAACATGCATCAGGAGCACTGCCATAAAATACACCTACCAGATAGTCCAAGCTTGGCTCTTTTTCAGTGGAGTAGTGACTGTCTGCTTTGCTGACTTTGAACAGCAGTCTTGTACCAGGATTTGTAAGTTTGGATTTTCCTTAAACGTATAATAAACAGTAACATGAACTAACCTGTTCAAGACAGGAACACAAGCACTAAATAGAAGCTACTTTTGAGGAATGTTATAAGAACAAAAGTAATTTATTATCCTGTTTCAAAGACTCCTCATGTGATGTACCCACCTAAACTGGCAGTTTCAGGAAAGGGTACCTTTGCTCTTAAGCCCCAATTTCACCAGCTAGTCTGTTTTTTGTTTGTTTGTTTGTTTGTTTTTCACACTAGTCTGTAAACTCAAAATCAGACTCGAACCAAAGCATTTCATTATGTACTTACCCTTCTTGCTGTGGTGAGGCTTTTTCCATTTCACTGATCCTCTTGGGTTCCACGCCTTCTTTTTTGCCCCATACTTGTTCCAGACACACTCTCTTGACGTTGGTGAATTAGCAAGTGTCAAACCATTCTTCAAGGCATGCTCCACTTTAGACAACACAGCTGCCACTTGATTACAAGTTGATCTCAAACTTAAAGAGAAACAAAAAGTCAAACCCATAGTTCTGCATTTTATCGTACACATAAATTAATCTCTTACCCGGCAAAACATCTGCAATACGCTCTCTCCACTGTACCATTTAGCTTTTTAACGCAAACCCAAATCTTGAGTGGTACGTTGCCTATTTTTTGCAAAGGTGTTGACTCAGATTTCAGGAAGCAAAGTTCATGACTGTCTGAAATGGGATGAAAAAACACTTCCTTTAGCCACTGTGAATCAAAATAGCTAAACGCTTTTCCCTCTTTATAAAAACTAAGAAGACGTTTGCCAAGATCGCATCCTTGGTCGGCTGTTAGTATAAATTCCGCTATTTGTATCTGGAAAATAGGTGGCCATTTTTCCATTCCCTCCTCTTCACCGATCCAGTTGCCTTCAAGTTCCGTAAATGGATCCGACAACTCCCCACCATTTATGTCAAGAAGACTCTTGCATTGTCGTTGCTTCTGTACAATTTCTTCTTCGGCGGTTAGTTTTACAGGTACAGACAGCTGCTCGGTACCGAACAGGCCTTTCCCGATTGTGCTCGGCAACTTTTGGGCAACTTTTTGCTGTTCTAGCTAGCAACCTCGAGTAAATTTTGCCTTTAAAATTTATTCGAGGTTGCTAGCAACTTTGCTGAGCAACTTTGGAGCAAAATATATGTTTAGAGCACATATCAACCACGAAAAATTCAACGATTTCGTAGAAAACTTCAATTCATGCGAATTTCTTGAATGTTTATCAGTTCATTTGTTAAATTTTGTTTTTAAATTAAAATCAGCTAGGTTTCCAGCTATTTTCCCTGACCGATGCTAGTAATTTTTGAAAAGAACGAATAATAAACCTTCTAATTAATGTATCGGTCTAATCGAAGCTTCAGCATGCCCCCCCGGGCATACCCCAGGCATTTGACACCTTTGCCGTCCGGGGAGGAGGGAATTTGATTATCAGAGTCTTCCAGGGGTGGGGAATTTGATCCCCATGCTTTAGGGGTGGGAATTTGAACTGCACCCTCGATTTCATGAAACATCTTTGGCTTGGCGAGCTATGGGGAAGCGGTGTTAGAGGATTTTCGTGGAAAAGGTTGTGCCTTTGTGGCCAATTGGTTACGAGAAAAGGGCTTAAACAAGCTTTGTGGCGTATTTGAAGTATTTAAATTTTAAAATTTTTAATATTGATTCAGGCTTTGAATGTATGAATGTATTTTATTGTTGTGTTTACAATGAAATACAATACCTATACCGGCGATTCAATACAACAACATAAAATAAAATAAAAAGCTCAGGTCAACTACTTTGACCTACTGCAAGTATGTTAATTAATAAGGTGAGCGATGATTGTATGTTGCATGACGAAGAAAAGCTGAGCATTCAGTGACCTTGTAGCAGCGATTTCCGCCGCTTTGCACGAGACTTTTGTTCGTAGTAAATACGCTAACAGTGTTTCTCAGTTTTTGTTATATTTATAAAGATTTTGTTCGACAACTGAAGGCGTTTCCGCCAACCTTCTGTCATTTTTGTCCCTGTGAAATGTCCCCTGGGTGGGGGCATTTGATCATATGAATGGACCCCAGTATGGGGCATTTGAACGGCATTTTGGCCCGGGTAGGGGGAATTTGAACAATAATTTTCAAAAAGTCAAATGCCTGGGGGTTGCCTGGGGGCATGTTGAAGCTTCGATTTGACCGATACATAACGTTTATATAAAAATATCAAGAAATTCAGGTGGCAACTTTTGAAATTTAGGTAGCAACTGTTTGGATTTTTGGCAATGTTAGCAACTCTTTGGCATTCCAGTGAGCAACTTTCCAGCATTTTACGAGCAAAATAGGGAAAGGCCTAGCACCGCGCCGAAAGCCAACGCAGCAAGTTCGTCCTTGGTCCCGGTTAGCTCCGGTTTTTTTCAGAACACGATTTCGTAAAAATTCCTTTAGCTGTGAGACTTTCCTCCTCCTGAAGTCCTCTAATGAACCCTTTTCGCTATGGAGGACAGACATTTCAAGAAAAGTACAATCAGAAGAGAGAAATCTGTCGTGTTCCATAGCGGAAAACTCTGCAAGTACGATGTTTTGATTGTGCGTTTTTTATCACGAATTGTTCCCAGGTCCCGTCTCGCTCGCGAAACTGGGATTTGACTTATTGATTGTGTTTATCGCCATGACAACCAAAATCCCTAGGGGAGTACTCCCTTACTTTTGATCTGAAATAGGATCTATAGTAAGCATTTGGAAAGCCGAACAACATACTTCACTGCGAATTCCCGGGGAATACGTCCCCGGATTGCTCAGTTAATAATTGATAGCCTTCAAGGCTGTGCTCAAAGAAAATTGAAGGGAGCCCAGTGCTCTGAACTTGTAAAATTCAGTGTGCCCAGCATATGATTTCTATGAAAAAGCTAAGATTTTCTAGTCGCGCGAGAACAAAAGTTAGGCGCCACAGGCCACCGGACTCTGCTAGAGCACAGCCTTGGCCTTCATTCTGTGAAACAAAAATCCCGGTACGTACTTCCTTACATTTTATAACATTCTAGGATACGGATACCCCAACGATTTGTTGGGGAACATGCCAGGCTACCAAGTTCGTCATTAACGACTGCGACGGGAAGTTACTATCTGAATGGCGGTCGCGAAAACAAATATTTTAAGTTATTTCTTTTGGATAATATATTTGATGGGGACGGTAGATTCTGCGCAACATAAGTATAGAAATATCTGGGCTGTGAAAGTACGTGGAAGTCTACAGGACGCGAAGCAGTTGTCCTTCAAGCATGGTTTCGTTTATGACAAACATGTGAGTTCTTCCATCCTAACTTTGGTTAAGTTTAAGTTAAATCTACTCAAAAACCCATTTTAACTTCACC